TTGCGTAGTTGAAAAAATTATTTAAGCCATAAGGAAATATAGATGAAGTCCTTAAAAATTGGTATTTTTCACAGTTTGAAAAAGTATTTAATTTTCTTTTTTTTTCAATGCCACACTCAAACGAAGCATATAAAAGTCCCATTTTAAAGCGTTAATAAATGATAGCACCATTGAAGCAATATGCAATAAAATTTAAGGAGGGCACCTTAAATCAAGGGTGGAGAGGACATAAGAGTTTCTCCAACATTAATTTATAATTTTATTTTATTTTTTGCGCGAAGTTTGCCGCACATTTATTGGCATTTTCTGTCAAAGGCACGAAATTTATTTTTTCTGCAATCCGACGTTGGAAGAATATCTGCAATCCTATCAATTTTACGCGGTGTGATGCTCCCAGGGATCTGCGCTAGATTCAGATTGGAAATCAATCATTTTCTATATCCCCTTTGAAAATTTCCAAAAGGTTTTGATGGCAAGTTACAAAATGGCGTTGCGACTAATGTTTCGTCATTCGTTTAATAATTACAAAGCACAACATACACTAGGTACACTTTAATGAACGCCATGTTGCGTATTAAAATAATTTATTAAATATAGATTTACTCATTAAATTGAATATTGAATTTGTAGCCCCACTGTATAGGAATTGCACATGCATTCTGTTATTTTCATTCTCTTTGGTATGTACATAAAAGCAGTATACATATGTATGTATGTATGTAAATAGGTACGTAACAGTAGCTACACACGACGAGCATATCCGCGCACATGCGCGGCTTGCGGGTCATGCTCGTCGTTTGTAGGGCGGTTTGCGAGCATGCGCGCCAAAAATCAAAAAATTTTGATTTTCAGCGAGCATGCTCGTCGTTTGTAGCGTGGTTTGCGAGCATCGCATTGGAAACAAAAACAAAAACCTCACTTTGTGTTGATGCTTGCAGTGTGCACATCGCGGATAAATGCTTCCAAGCCATGTGCGTTAATTGAATTTTTGATAAATGAGGCTAAATTACTATATGTATATGTATGTACATACATATAAGTAAAATATAAATAAATTTAAGTAACACATACATAAAAAACCCTAAGTCATAAGTATTTCAATTGCATCATCCGCGTCTTTCCTTTCCATGTTTACGCTTTGAGTACAAAATCACTTATGAGCCGCTCGCCGTCTGTAGCAAACGACAGCCAGCATGTTGGCGCACATGTGCGCGGATATGCTCGTCGTGTGTAGCTACTGTAAGCCTTGATGTGGATTACTGTAACCACGAAAAAAAAAGAGTCAGTATTCGCTTAGCATCGAAGTAGAGAAGAGTTATTATAGTTATTAAATTGTTAAAACTTAAACTCATGCGTTTTCTTTTATTCACGCAAGGGAGCAAAAACTATTGTGTCCCAACATTTTGGTGCCGAAACCCGGGACATTGGTCCCATAATCGAATTAAAAGCTTCATTGGAAGTCTGTGAGAAAATTATTCTCATTAAGTTCGATTGCTAAGCGAACCACAAGAAAGATCATTCGCGGACAGTAGCTGCCGAAGAAGCAATAACAACAATAACGAGTGCACTCGCATCAAGGTGCAGTTGACGGCGTCAAGCTTTAATCTGTGAGAGAGCAACGAGTTACCTGCGGCGAGTCACAAAATTACTTGTTGGCAAATGCTTGAAACACAATACCCGGCGAACGGCAAATTTCGCCCAGCAGAGCGATGCCGACGACCAACTTTCGCCCAGCTAATTCGCTTCCTGAAACACAAATAGAGAGCTCCAGTAAGTTATCTACTGTTTAATAAAAAAATATTATATAGAATATCGCAAACGTTAGTAGGTCGTTTGTAGGTCTATGATAGATAAAAATTAACGTTTGATAGATCTTCCTATTTCTACAATAAGAAAAATAAAAAAGTTCAATATTTCTACGGAAGTTAGCCCCCTGTTTTTTTAATTTTGCCGATAGAATGTTGAATTGCCGACTAAGTGATGCAGAATCGTTTGTAGGTGATTGATAGATGACATTCGGTCTCCTTTAATGCTCAATATATAAATTATTGACGTGAAA